ACATGAGGACAACTCATCAGTATCATGACCTCTTGAAGGATATATTTTTGTCTTTAAAAGGTTTTGACATAGACTTATATTGAACTTGCGAGGACCTCCAGTCACCCTACTATAATATTACTACTGCATATTACAACAACACACACAGAGTATAAATCCAGTGGAACTGTTTCCTTTGGCATTTTTACAGGGCTTTCTGGTTTTCAGTACCTTCACTAAATAAAAATAAGGCCTCATCAAATAATTCACCACATGAATAAATTGCTTAAAATATATAAATGAATATAAATTTGAAATATACATTTGGTAACAGTTGTTGACCTTGATTGCTTAAGAGGCAGCAGACATGTGATTGGCTGAAAATTGAGAGGGTAGTGACAACACCACTGTCATGAAAAGTGACAAAATAAAATAAAAACCCAGCATTAAACAAAAGTGTAATTGGAATTAAAACAGACATATTTTATTTTATAATTACACAGGTGAGTTCCTTGTCTCATAGTTCATTTATTCAGAGTCCATTTACATCTACCTAATTATCCATCCATCCATCCGCTGTCTGTACCACTTATTCCTGAATAGGGTCATGGAGCCAATCCCAGCTGACAGTGGGTGAGAGGCGGGATACACACTGGACAGGTCGCCAGTCTGTCACAGGGCTGACATTTAGAGACACACCCACACTCACTACTACAGGCAATTTAGAGTTGCCAATCAACCTAAGCTGCATGTCTTGGGAATGATAATAAATAAGCAATTTTGAATGGTAGTAGACGAAGTAACATTTCTTGTTGCACTGTGAACACAGACATTTTAGTTCAAATTACATTTTTTTTTTTGGTCCCTAGCAACATGAATGTACCAAAGTCTTTCTTGCAGCAATCCTCATGTCATTATTACCTTGTTGTTGTTTTGAGAACAGATACTCACAGAAAAATTTGAGCTTTTGTCTTTATTTCCTGAAGGACCACTTTGACTCCAAAGTAGAAGAACAGCTCAGCAGTGGTGGAAGAACCACTCAGACCTCTTACTTAAGTAAAAGTAGCAATACCACAGTGTAAAAATGCTCTGTTACAAATCTGCATTGAAAATGTTACTTAAGTAAAAGTACAAAGGTATTAACATCAAAATATACTTACAGTACGAAAAGTAAAAGTACTCATTATGCAGAATGGTACATTTAACATTAATGTACAGAAGTATATCAAATTATTGGATTATAATTTGTTTATATGATTATAATTTGAAGTACTGACAAGTAGCTTGTGAATTTATACTGTATTTTTTATTTATTTGATTCTGAAAAGTAACTCGTAACTAAGGCTATCAAATAAATGTAGCGGAGTAAAAAGTACAATATTTTCTCCTAAAATGTAGTGAAGTCACAAATGAAAATACAGACACCTCAAAACGATACTTAAGTACAGTACTTGAGTAAATGTATTTAGTTTCCACCTCTGCAGCTCAGTCTGATATACTGAAAAATAACTTTTTGGTTTTTGCTTATCTTTGTAGTACTTCCATTCATCTACCTTCTCATTCATGCCTTAGCTATTGGACAGCCACCCTGACATTATCCTGTAGGATACCTTGATGAACCTGGGAATTCATTTTCTCCTCGGTGATGACAGTTGTTTAGGCACAGAGACAGCAAAGCAGCTCAAAGTTATGATGCTTTCTCCATGTACTCCACTTTTGGGATAATGTTTTCATGTTGGTATGCCATACCCGTTTTACACCATACATACTGCTGAGTCTTCTTAGATCAGGACATTCTTCTGTATAGTGTTAATTTGGCTCAGCGTCTCAGGTGGCACAGAAGATCTTATAGTTGAACATAAACAAATTTGAGATTTAAACACTAAAATTTCAAAATTTTCACTACTAATAATACTTGGAATGGCACTAATGGAGATCATGATGATTTTTATCACCATGCAGATAATAAAATGTATATTTATGAGAAAAGAAAAGAAACACTTTGCTGGATGTAAAGGAAAATCCTTGGAAAATTCAGGCTCCTCTCAATGTGACCAAATATTTTACCAGTTTTGATTTCTATTTTTACTTTGACTGTATGACTCATTGGTAGTGACAGGTGTACTGCTGCTTTTGCTCATAGTCATTGGAGACCTACTGTGTTGTGGGCTGACCACTGGCACAACACAAACCACTCAAGCTCTTTCCAAGGTCATCATTTATCTGAGGGTTATATCACAGTGTTTATTACTTGCAAAAATATATATTTTGAATATGGAAAATACAAATGCTAAATCATGCTAGTGCTTGTTTTAATAGAGTAACAGATGGTTGAGTGGGCGATTGATTTATTTCACATAAAACATTTTAGCAACCACAAAAAAACATGTGAAAGTCATTGAAGTTATTTCTCTCACTGCTTTTCTCTTCAACTTTGTTTCCTCTTCATATGGTGTTTAGATTTCAGGTTTGCCTGCTGGGAGACCTTTTCTTTCAGTGTGGTTTGCCTGCATCACCTTTGCGAGGTCAAAAGACTGAGAAAGCAGTAAACACAGAGCCAGTATGTGCTGTATTTTGAAAGGTGTATGACTGAGTCTATACAAACACAGAAGGACATAGTGAATAAAGAGGCAATTAATATACTGTAAAGTAGAGTGGTAAGGCTGCTTGGACAGCTTCATAAATCTTGGTCCACCTACTGCTTGGCTACTGAAGCGATGCCCACAGTGTTTGGGAAGGGGAGCAACAAATAAACAGCCCGAAGACATTGGTACTCCTCTGCCTTTACCTCCACAGGAATCTGCAGTATATAACCCCAGAGAGGAAATGCTATTTCCGTAAGTCTGCCACATTGTGACATGCAGGAGTTAGGAATGCAGCAGAGGTTTACATGACATTGTTGTTTTCATCAGGCCTGACCACATTGTTTTATAACAAGAATTGACTTTAATTAGAACCCCTTGGGGTTTCCGTTCTCATTCTAAAGTTGTCCTTCTCATCTGATGTCCAGGGGAGCTGGGGCATGTGGTTGACCATAGAGGTCCACAATACTAAATCACTTGAAAAAATATTTTTCTAAGTCATTTCAGTCTAGTTTATCTGATGTTCAGCGCCCCGGAAACAAGACAGGCTGTAATGCAATGACAAAAATAATGTGCAATATATATTACAGTACCCTGATGATAAATTTAAAAAAGAGAAAGAAAGAAAAATGTACTACCCTTCTTATCACTTGAGAAACAAGGCTTACTTGTTTTTTTAAGAGGCAACAGCCTAAGAACAGGAGCAGCATATTAGAAGTATTGAAATGCATAGACTGATATGAAGCCTCTAGTAAAGCTTATTTTTCTGCACACATTCAAGAATACAGTGCATGAGATGTGAAGCCACATAGATGAAAAGCAACAACAGAAATGTGTCACATACTGCCCTCTGCAGATGGCAGCTTGCCTTGTCACTGGACATAAACTGGTAATGACAGAATGAATCAAATACGGCAATGGGTGTCTAGAGCACAGGCAGAATAAAATGTTATTACTCTAGCTGGTGGATATGATTCAGTAGCCAATTAAAACAGAACAAAAGACCTACTTCAGTCACATGAAGGATCATCAAGTGTTTGATTCTCAACTGTTTGTACATGACACAACTGAATTTGTCACACAAGCCTTACTGTGCAACTCCTTATTCTCTGTTAGATCCCAGAAAGCAGACAGAGTGATTGCCACACATTACTGAACACCTATGGGAGACTCTGGAGTGGCAGCACTGTCCATCACCCTCATAAACACATTGAATAGAATATATTTTGAACAAATGATGTTCACCCCTAAGAGACGTGCAGACTCAATAGGCCTGACAGTGCAGAACAACTTATACTGATTTGTCCTTGCACTTGCCAACCAAAACACTTTCACTGTTTTGGGGCATTTAAGCTTTCATTGGATATCCAACAGTAGAAAGTGAGAGAATGAGGGGATGGAGCAAAATGGGTGCGAGTACAGTGAATTTCCTCCATTTATGTTTTGTTTATTGGAACACTAATGTCTGAGGTAATATTGTATTTATTGTTTTTCTTTGGCATTTTGTTATCAATATTTGCCACATGATGGAGTGTGGTGAGTGCTTGTGACAGGGGTGTTCAGGCAGTGCACACTCATTGTAGTGCAGTGCTGGAAAAACAAAAACAAAAAAGCAAAAAAATGCTGGACAGCAACATGTTACATCTGTATTTTTGCTGGATAAAGCCACAAATCATGCTGAGTTGCCACATGCAAAATGGCGTACAATAAAGTTGAGCACAAGGAATGTTGCAGTTACAATTTATGTTTTGCAGCTTAGCCATTCACCATTAGCACTAGTTTGAACAGCATATTATACTAACTGCTGTCATTGGTGGCTCCAAAGCCTCATAAGCCCCTCTCACTATCTCACCTGCTGATCTAATACAATGTATTTTAAAACAGCATGACAGGTACACAATATCCCCAGCTACATTTGACAGGTACTTTATCAATCTTCTGACAAGCACCAGGAAACTGCCTGCAAGATATACACTCTCTCTCCCTCTTGGGTTCACTGTTATTGTATTGTTTTTTTGGCCTTGTCTCAGGCACTGTTGCTTGTTTATTTTATCATTTGCACAGTAGTAGCCCATCTGTATTGTGGATTAAACATGGCCATTCTATTCATATGGGTATTAATTAATTTAATTTTTCAGCATCTATATTAAAAATCTCCCAGTCTAGTTTCCAACAAGAATCAACTTTTTAAAAGAACTTTCAGAAATTAGCATGAATCATGAAAGAAGACAGAATAAGAGACTGCTGCTTTAGAATAATGAAAAAAAAAACAACTATAAATTCTTTAGCTTCTGTTAAAGTTAAAACAAATTGAAATGAGCTCAAAAAGGATTCAACAATAGATTTAACACTATTTTTTTTTACCAAATTAGCTCAAGAAATCAGATAAATATAGTGTAGCACTTTGTTATATCGAAGAAATCAACTGGACAAAACACACTCAGTTAAACTATTTGTATTTATTTAAAACTATTATTGTAGAAGTGCACAGCACTGACTGAAATTCTCTCTGTACAGAAGAACAACATTTTTTTCTGCAAACAGATTGTGACATTTAGGAGTATATTCTTTTCTAGTTTTACACACACACACACACACAAAAAAAATCAAGGAACAGAACATCTACACAAACTGTGCTCTCTTATCTCAACCACAAACCGAAGCATCTCTTTTTGTTACTACCCTTTTAACTTATAATTAGCAAGTTATAAGTAATAGTCATCATGGCTATAGGTGCAAAGTATTTATACATTTAACACTTCCTGAGGTACCTGAGGGCTTAAATAAACACAAGACCTTTGGTCTGTAGCTAAATTATACACTAGTGGGTACAGTGGTGCAAAGTCTGCCTTGAATAGAGACATCATACCTGATATCTCAAACATCTTGAAAAAGAAAATTCTTCATGCATGCTCTGTGCAAAAACAGCAGAGTATGCATATTGCACATTGCGTACACCTTATGATTCAAAGTGCTGCACCAATCTCATCAAGACTCTTAAATTAAAAACACAATTCTTCCTTCACTGTATTCTGTTAGGTTCAAGAGAAACAGATCACCATCTAGTTTCTTTTCCTCCCCAAAAATGACTAAATCCTGAAAATCCATCATCTGTCAAAACACGGAGCAGAGTGGGTATAGCGCATGCTGACTTGGTAAGCCCTGCTTGGGATGCTGGGCTTTGAATCTAGTGAGATTGTGATGGCCTGGGAGTTGCCATGCTGAGGGCCAGTAGGAGCCTGTAGGCTAGTGGTGGGGTGGCTGAGGTAGGAGGCAGGCCTGTGATTAGGGGCCGGGCCCGGCTGTGGAGCCTTCTGAGGGTACTGCATGCCGGGCTGGTGCAGGTACTGGGCAACAGTGGCTGTCTGGCCCTGCTGCTGATGATGGTGGTTTGGCTGCTGGCACTTCTGCTTGTTGGCCTCTTTGACATCACTGTCATGTGCACTAGGGGGAAAAAAAGGACAAAGAGTTGCACTGTTGATTATTGAAAAGCTTCAGTCCTGTAAGATGAGCACTGATGTGCGTCTTTTGTTATGCGTAATGTGAAACATATAGGCTACTGTCTGCTTGTACTGTGTATGAGATTCTATTGTCCTTCTGTAAATGTGTGTCAGACTGTACTGAAAGTTGTCAGTATCCATAAAATGGATACTGTACTGTATCACTCTCACTGTCTCAACTGTCACAAGGATATGCTCAATTCTTTGTCATCTAAGCCACACACAGATACACACATGAGTAGTTTCTCTGCACATGGGACTAGGTTCTCCCATGTGTAAGCTGTGAGGTGCTGCAGTCGGGGTGGCCATGTAGGGGACAGGTGGAGGATGAGGCGGGTGGCAGCCACACATGCAGCAGCCACCAAAGAGGGGGCAAAACGCAAAAACATATGATCTGAGGGAAGATTAAAGACAACAATCCATCACCACTTGTAGGAAGAAAATGTACAACCTGCAACCTACAACCCCCACAAAAAAAAACAACTTCATATTTTGTCAAAATGGAGTCAAGTCTGACTTTTTTGACATTTAACCACATAAACAATTATTATGCTATGAAATACTGTATAAAATTTGCTCTTAATATAAAACAGTTAAAAACACATACAGACATACTTACAATGTCCAGATACATTATGAAATGCAACTCACCCTGTAAGGAAACCTCCAGGAAGTAATCAGCATACTTGGCCATGTATAGTTTCGTCTTCTCCAGACAGGTCATAGGCCAGCCATCATGGAGGTCTCCCTCATGGACAGCAATGGACAGGTAGTATTCTATGAAATGAGCAGCTGTAGGGAAGTACAGGTTCCACTGGAAGGTTTCCAGCAGGAGCAGCTCCATGTGTAGTAAACCCTGCTTGGTCAGGACCAGGTTCACGGAGCTCATGCAGCTCAGGCCATTCAAGGTTTCCAACTTTGGCACTCTGTCCTCCCTTTCCTCAAATTTACCTGCAGAGAGACATATATGTAGGGTCTCAAAACATCACACGAATGCAGAGATGATGCCATGCTTGAGTGTGAAATTAGTTACACACTTACTGGCCAAAAGAAGACATGAGAGTGAGACTATGTGAAGCTGCTGCACAGTGACATCGTAGCGATCCATGAAGAGGTCCAGCAGGTAGACAGCCAGGTGTCTGGCTGCAGGACACAGGTGGAAGCGGTTGCTGACAATGGCTATGAGGTCTGCAAAGTATCGTCTCAAGTTGAGCTGAGGCGACTGGCCTTTGTAGGAAGGCAACACGAGCTCCTATTAGACAATATATAATGTTTGACATCTCAGAGCACAGATTTGATACTATATATGCATACTTTAATACTCACTGATATACCAGCTGATATAGGCCTATCAGATATAATATGGATATCAGCACGTCATTTGTAGACACGTGTAGCTGCAGACACTGCAGTAAAAACATACCAAAATGTGCTAGTTCTACATAATCCAGAAATGGGTCCTCAATCTCCATTACATTGTTTATTTATTTATTTATATATATATCCCAATAAAACATATCCAAAATATTTGTTATGTAGACCTATTTAATTAAAACATAAGGCTGATATAGAATCAGAGTTTAATTTAGTAAAGTGGTTTCAGCCTCAGAAATCTGACATTGTCACACACACAAATATACCCAATACAAAGAACACTGATCCAACAGAAGTAAAATGGAATGTAAATGGACAGCACATCAAATAAAACTGCATAAGAGAATGACAAATGAAAACTTTTTTTTCTCATATTTGATCCAATTTGACTATTTTGACAGCCATCACAAAAGTTATTGTATCCCACTCACTTTGTAACGTAGCGCCTTGTAGATATCTGCAGCCAGCTGTCCTTTCCACCATTGGTCCTCCAGCTCCATTTAATGCAGTGCTTTGGAAACCTCTGTGAGGCAAAACGTGAAAGGCAAGTAATCAACAAATTTACTGGCCATCAACCACAACACACTGGTGCTGAAAATGTTCTGAACATGGAAAACGGTCTCTGTCTGATGCACAGTAACATCTTTAAAGTCGCCAAAGTGTCATGCAACAACCACATAACTGTTCACGTTTGCGAGTCAGGAGTAGGCGCCGTGAACCATCGCCTGTCATTCATTGTGTTTTCTAAGCTGGGAAATAAAAGATGTTAATGTTGACGCTTCAAGGAAACTCACCCAATGAACACATGTAGTAAATATTAACTTCACTTAAGTAAACTTCACATTAAACTAGCCAAACATGTCTGCTTACACTCATTGCTGTAGTCAGTGGAGCTTCTCGGCTCAGCACGAGTTCAGCTAACGCTACTGCTGCCTTCAAGTGCTACCGGAAACAATGGCTTTATGTTGAGAGAGCAGGGACAACCAACGATAACGAAGCCGAGAAAGCCGAATAGTGGTGTTTGGCAAATGTATAGCCCAAGACTGTTGGTAAAACTGATTTATAGAACAGCTTTCATTACAAAGCTATTTATCACATAGGTATTATAATGCTGTCATGATTTATATTTGAGTATAGCGCAAGTATCTTCATACAATCTTTATTCATTGTTGAACTTCGAAAAATGTCATGATTAAAGATTCTGGCACGATTGTAAATTGTAATGTATAACCGGGAATATTTCAAGCCGAATTTCCATTGTCTCACAATGGCAACTTCTGAGACGAGCGTTTCCGATTTGTAAGTGAAAGCATCAGACCATTGACAGAGGAAGTGATATGCAATAGGACGCAGCCAATTACAAGTAGTATAGCAACTGTCAGCATCCAATCACTGGATAGACCGTACAGCTGCCGACCAGATGCAGCCAATAACCAACAAATGGGAATTGTAAAATTATAATGCATGTCCATGGCAATAGACCTATTTTGCCAACTGTTTGTTTATGTAGGTAGGCATATGTATGAATGGATGAAATGATGTAGAGTTGATATAGCTTATTTGCAAAAATAATAAGGAACAGACTACTGTTGATCGACAATACTGTCAATAAGATTTCTATTTATATAGTACACACTAACCATGAAAAATAATCAAATTGAAAACCTTAACAATTTTGTAGGTAACCTTTTAGTCACTTTGTGGACTGAAATTCCAGTATTTATTGGATGTTTGTTCTAACTTAATTTGGCAAACTTGCAGATAGCCTAACCCTAGCCTAAAGCTATTACATCTTTCTATGAACCAGAAGGATTCATTGTTGCCACATTTGTCTTTTAAAGGGCATCAGGCTATGTTCCGCAGGCTTTTAAAGTTGCTGTAATTAAAACTATTCCAGTACTACTATGAGGAACCTTGGAGTCATTTTTGTCCAGGATATGTCCTTTAAATCACACATAAACCAAGTCTCTAGAACTGCCTTCTTTCACCTGCGTAATATCGTAAAACTCAGGAGCATCCTGTCTCAAAGTGATGCTGAAAAACTCATGTGTAGCAGATGTAATTAATCGCTCATATATATTTCACCGAATCCATTCTCTGCCGTCAGGTTTGTCATGTAAACTGTTTAAGATCCTCCCGTTCTTGTTTTTTTTGAGCTTCTATTTTGTTAAGTTTTATTTCTGTGATGTAATTTCCTGTGCGTGATGTCACTTCCTGTTAATTCGCACCGCTCTCGTCAGTCGGCTAGATGCCACGACGAGGAGGGTATGCACTGTGTATGTGGAGCCTGGCAAAGCGAGCTGCTGTATGTTTCATTTCCTTTTTGCACAGAATAAAGTCCTGTGTTGGGTAATCTGATGTCAGTGGTCCTCCTTTCAAGTTGAAGACACAACGCAGAGTGCCAGAAGGCTTCCTAGTGCCCTGACGGGCTACACATGCATTTGTTACTTCCAGGCTGGACTACTGTAACTCTTTACTATCAGGATGTCTCGATAATTCTATAAAAAGCCTCCAGTTAATCCAAAATGCTGCAGCCAGAGTATTGACAGGAACTACCAAGAGAGATCATATCTCTCCCATATTAGCTTCTCTCCACTGGCTCCCTGTAAAATTCAGAATAGACTTTAAAATCCTTCTACTAAGATACAAAGCCCTTAATGACAAGGCTCCATCGTATCTTAAAGACCTCGCAGAACCTTATCATCCTAACAGAGCACTTCGCTCCCAAAGTACATGTTAACTTGTGGTTCCTAGAGTTCACAGAAGTAGAATGGGAGGCAGAGCCTTTAGTTATCAAGCTCCTCTTCTATGGAACCAACTCCCAGTCTCAGTTCGGGAGGCAGACACTCTCTCTGCCTTGATAATTCTATAAAAAGCCTCCAGTTAATCCAAAATGCTGCAGCCAGAGTATTGACAGGAACTACCAAGAGAGATCATATCTCTCCCATATTAGCTTCTCTCCACTGGCTCCCTGTAAAATTCAGAATAGACTTTAAAATCCTTCTACTAAGATACAAAGCCCTTAATGACAAGGCTCCATCGTATCTTAAAGACCTCGCAGAACCTTATCATCCTAACAGAGCACTTCGCTCCCAAAGTACATGTTAACTTGTGGTTCCTAGAGTTCACAGAAGTAGAATGGGAGGCAGAGCCTTTAGTTATCAAGCTCCTCTTCTATGGAACCAACTCCCAGTCTCAGTTCGGGAGGCAGACACTCTCTCTGCCTTTAAGATTCGAGTTAAGACTTTCCTTTTTGATAACGCTTATAGTTAGGGCTGGATCAGGTGACCCTGAGCCTTCCCTTAGTTATGCTGCTATAGGCCTAGGCTGCTGGGGGAGGCAGAAGGCTGCCCACCAAGAGCCGGGGTCTGTCGGAGGTTTCTTCCATTAAAGGGAATTTTTCCTCCCCGCTGTGCCCAAGTGCTTTCTCAAGGGGGATTTGTTGGGTTTTCCTCTAATAATAATGACAATAGTAAGGTCTAGACCTTACTTTGTAAAGTTTCCTGAGATGACTTTTGTTGTGATTTGGCGCTGTACAAATACATTCAAATTTGAGTATAGGCAACAGTAGATTCATGTATATTGAGTCAATAACAAACCTATAAGTCCCAAATGAATGTGACACATATAATATGAAGTCTATACATTGGCAACATGTCAGTAATATCTGACAAATTTCAAAACCAAAGTTAAACATGAGTTCATGAGGAACATGAGTTCTATGTTCTTGAAGCCAGTAGTTGAAAAGGAAATTATAGAGATAGTAAATAAATGTGATAACAAAACATCAAGTGATAGTGATGGTATCACCATGACAACTGTAAAATGGGTAATTAAGGAGATAGGCAAACCATTAACATACATTTTTAACATGTCATTTCGACTTGGGCAGTTCCCTAATAAGATGAAAATTGCAAAGGTTATCCCTCTGTATAAATCTGGTGATAAACACAACTTCACGAATTACAGGCCGGTTTCTCTGTTGTCACAATTTTCAAAAATTCTGGAAAAACTCTTCAATAA